ATTCTATTCTCTGTGCCCTAAGGGCTGGGCCGGGGGTCTATGTACAGCCTAGATTTTGTAAACGTAATTCTCTGACTGGATTCTATTCTCTGTGCCCTAAGGGCTGGGCCGGGGGTCTATGTACAGCCTAGATTTTGTAAACGTAATTCTCTGACTGGATTCTATTCTCTGTGCCCTAAGGGCTGGGCCGGGGGTCTATGTACAGCCTAGATTTTGTAAACGTAATTCTCTGACTGGATTCTATTCTCTGTGCCCTAAGGGCTGGGCCGGGGGTCTATGTACAGCCTAGATTTTGTAAACGTAATTCTCTGACTGGATTCTATTCTCTGTGCCCTAAGGGCTGGGCCGGGGGTCTATGTACAGCCTAGATTTTGTAAACGTAATTCTCTGACTGGATTCTATTCTCTGTGCCCTAAGGGCTGGGCCGGGGGTCTATGTACAGCCTAGATTTTGTAAACGTAATTCTCTGACTGGATTCTATTCTCTGTGCCCTAAGGGCTGGGCCGGGGGTCTATGTACAGCCTAGATTTTGTAAACGTAATTCTCTGACTGGATTCTATTAATATTCATTTAATTTTCAAATCACGTTTTTCTTTGAAATTATTCATCATCTCTTATAGTTTATATAAATTCGACAGAAATATACGTATGCTGTCCTGTCATATAATTTTTGAGTCCGGGCTGAGTTTGAAGTGCCGCCAGGTTAGTTTGACCTTCACAATTAACCAACACATTAATGAAGATATTGAACATGCAAAGAGTTAGTTTCTAATTTCTGTTTTGAAAAATTAGAATTTATACTATATTAGTAATCGCATACTTTGTATATAAAGTAATAAAATATAGACAAACATTAAATTTGATTAAATTTCTGGCCATAAATTCAGTTTTATTTGTAGTTCTGTAAATTATGATTTGTATAATGTGGTGAAAGAAAATTAAGGGGGGGGGGACACAACGAATGGTTCTCTAGCTGGTCTATAATTGATAAATGTTCGTTAAATGCTCCAAACTATCAGTAATCACTAAGAAATTCGCAATTATAATTAAATAATTTAGCTTAACAAGTGTACTCAAAAACTAGAGCTAGAAATATTAATAAAATAATTCCATTACACAGGTGCACTCAAGAACTGGAACTAGGAAGATTGCAAATATAATTAAAAATTCCATTATACAGGTGTACTCAAGAACTGGAACTAAGAAGATTGCAATTATAGTTAAATAATTCCATTGCACAGGTGTACTCAAGAACTGGAACTAGGAAGATTGCAAATAATATTAAATAATTCCATTATACAGGTGTACTCAAGAACTGGAACTAGGAAGATTGCAAATAATATTAAATAATTCCATTATACAGGTGTACTCAAGAACTGGAACTAAGAAGATTGCAAATAATATTAAATAATTCCATTGCACAGGTGTACTCAAGAACGGGAACTAGGAAGATTGCAAATAATATTAAATAATTCCATTATACAGGTGTACTCAAGAACTAGAACTAGGAAGATTGCAAATATAATTAAATAATTCCGTTATACAGGTGTACTCAAGAATTGGAACTAAGAAGATTGCAAATAATATCAAATAATTCTGTTGTACAGGTGTACTCAAGAACTGGAACTAGGAAGATTGCAAATATAGTTAAATAATTCCATTACATAGATGTACTCAAGAATTGGAACTAGGAAGATTGCAAATAATATTAAATAATTCCATTATACAGGTGTACTCAAGAATTGGAACTAGGAAGATTGCAAATATAGTTAAATAATTCCATTACACAGATGTACTCAAGAACTAGAACAGAAATATTGCAAATAATATTAAATAATTCCATTATACAGGTGTACTGAAGAACTGGAACTAGGAAGATTGCAAATATAATTAAATAATTCCATTATACAGGTGTACTCAAGAACTGGAACTAGGAAGATTGCAATTATAGTTAAATAATTCCATTATACAGGTGTACTCAAGAACTAGAACTAGAAATATTGCAAATGATATTAAATAATTCCTACAGGTGTACTCAAGAACTGGAACTAGGAAGATTGCAAATATAATTAAATAATTCCATTACACAGGTATACTCAATAACTGGAACTAGGAAGATTGCAAATATAATTAAATAATTCCATTACACAGGTATACTCAAGAACAGGAACTAAGAAGATTGCAAATAATATTAAATAATTCCATTTCGCAGGTGTACTCAAGAACTGGAACTAGGAAGATTGCAAATATAATTAAATAATTCCATTATACAGGTGTACTCAAGAACTGGAACTAAGAAGATTGCAAATAATATTCCATTATACAGGTGTACTCAAGAACTGGAACTAAGAAGATTGCAAATAATATTAAATAATTCCATTATACAGGTGTACTCAAGAACTGGAACTAAGAAGATTGCAAATAATATTAAATAATTCCATTTCGCAGGTGTACTCAAGAACTGAAACTAAGAAGATTGCAAATAATATGAAATAATTCCATTACACAGGTGTACTCAAGAATTGGAACTAAGAAGATTGCAAATAATATTAAATTATTCCATTACACAGGTGTACTCAAGAACTGGAACTAAGAAGATTGCAAATAATATTAAATAATTCCATTTCGCAGGTGTACTCAAGAACTGGAACAAGGAAGATTGCAAACACTATTGCTACTCAAGTTCCTGCCCTTGCTCTGCTAGGTATTTGTTTAGTTTCTGATTACCTTTTATTCTTCTCATCACCAATTATTTACTGCTAATTATATTTTTCTTTATTTTTGTTGTATTTAGTAAACGTTACAATCTTACAGGATGTTATGTGTGACAGTAATTTCATGTTATTTATTGTACATTTCAACCCAGAACTTCGGGGACATCAAAAGAATTTATAATATCTCGTTTTAAAAAATTTCAATCGTTTTTTTTACTATTAGACCTAAATCTCAGTAATTGCAAAAAAAATATTGAAATATGAGGGAATATCTAATATCCAATGTCGGTAGGTTTAGAAGACGACATTTTATAACTTCTTTTGGCGGCTCCGAAGGTTTGGGTTAAATTGTAACATAATGGGTGATACATGTATTTTGTTTAAAGGAGCATCATTCAGTGGGTGTAATAAAACCTTATCTGTTGCTCTTCTAACCCTTGCAGTTGGAGCTAATGGAGCTATTTTCTCAGGAGAGCAGTCAGCCATGCTAGGTAGGTATTTATATATATATATACATGGTGGAGCTATTTACTGAGTCTGGTATCTTAGCATGTATGGTAAATATACTGTACAGTGTATGTACAGTGTACACTGTACGCCTAACAAAATCCTTTTTTAAACAAGCATATTATTAAGAAACAAGAATAATCTTAGTTTCCCGAAATTTATTTCTATTTTATTATAATTCTATTGTTGTTTCTTGTCTACTTATTCTTCTCCTTCCATTCTAATCTATAAATCTTATTTGTAAAAACTATATGCAGCGCTTTATTCTGTATTTAACTACCCATAAACTATATATCCTATCCGGCTATCAAGCTATGAGGCCTGCAGTTAGGGCAGGGAAAGCTTTTGTACGGATTTGTTGAAAAAAAAAATGTTTTTTTTTTATTTTTTACAAAATACTTAAGGCGCGTGGTTCTAAAAGTAGTTAGTCAGGCAGTATAAGGTCCAGGGGATCTTAAGGTGATTAGTCCTGGGACAGTATTAGGTTCAAGGGTTCTAAAGGTGGTTAGTTTAAGGACAGCATAAGGTGCAGGGGTTCAAAAGGTAGTTAGATTATGGACAGTACAAGGTCCAGGGGTTCTAAAGGTAGTTAGATTATTGACAGTATAAGGTCCAGGGTTCTTAAGGTAATAAGTTTAATGACAGTATAAGGTCCAGGGGTTCTAAAAGTGATTAGTTTAAAGACAGTCTAAGGTCCAGGGGTTCGCTTAAGGTGGTTAGTTTAAGGACAACATAAGGTTCAGGGGTTTTAAAGGTTGTTAGCTTAAGGACAGTATAAGGTCCCTGAGTTCTAAAGGTGATTAGTTTAAGGACAGTATAAGGTCTAGGGGTTCTAAAGGTGGTGAGTTTTATGACAGCATAATTTCAAGGGGTTCTAAAGGTTGTTAGTCCTAGGACAGTATAAGGTTCAGGGGTTCTGAAGGTTGTTAGTTTAAGGACAGTATAAGGTCTAGGGGTTCTAAAGGTGGTTAGTCCTAGGACAGTATAAGGTTCAGGGATTCTATAGGTGGTTAGTCCTCGGCAGTCCAAGGTCCAGTGGTTCTAAAGGTGGTTAGTCCTAGGACAGTATAAGGTTCAGGGATTCTATAGGTGGTTAGTTTAAGGACAGTTTAAGGTCCATGGGTTCTAAAGGTTGTTAGTCCTAGGACAGTATAATGTCCAGGGGTTCTAATGGTTGTTAGTCCTAGGACAGTATAAGGTCCATGGGTTCTAAAGGTTGTTAGTCCTAGGACAGTATAATGTCCAGGGGTTCTAATGGTTGTTAGTCCTAGGACAGTATAATGTCCAGGGATTCTAAAGATGGTATTTTTAAGGACAGTATAAGGTTCAGAGGTTCTAAAGATTGTTAGTCCTAGGAAAGTATAATGTCCAAGGATTCTAAAGGTGGTAAGTTTAAGGACAGTATAAGGTTCAGGGGTTCTAAAGGTTGTTAGTCCTAGGACAGTATAATGTCCAGGGGTTCTAAAGGTTGTTAGTCCTAGGACAGTATAATGTTCAGGGATTCGAAAGGTTGTTAGTCCTAGGACAGTATAATGTTCAGGGATTCTAAAGGTTGTTAGTCCTAGGACAGTATAAGGTTCAGGGGTTCTAAAGGTTGTTAGTCCTAGGAAAGTATAATGTTCAGGGATTCTAAAGGTTGTTAGTCCTAGGACAGTATAAGGTTCAGGGGTTCTAAAGGTTGTTAGTCCTAGGAAGGAAATTAAATGGGATGTTGGCATAATATGATAGATGAAGAGATTAATGGAACAAGGTTAACAAAATAAACTAGATATTTGCTGTCTCTTCAGACTATGTTCAGACTAAAACAGTATTAACTAAATTCAATTTACTTTCATTCAAGAATCAAATACAAACCACCATTAATCCTGACAACATTGTAACTGATAAAAGTACTGAATGCAGTTTCTGGGCAAAATATTACTATTTTTGTAATATAATTGTAAGATAGCATTTTAAATGCTAAGATATCCTGAATAAATCTTAAATAAATAAATGTTTTTATAATTAAAATATTTTTATATTGACGATGTTTAAAAGAACTCTGTTATATTTAGATATTTGAAATACAACTTTGAACAGCTTAGATATTATAAATAACTTTTAAATGTTTAGAAATTGAAATAAGTCTAACTTGTTTGGATTTTAGAAATAACTCTCTGTAGAGATATTGGGAATAACTTTGGAATATTCAGATATTGGGAATAACTCTGCAAATATTCAAATATTTGGAATAATTCAGGAATATTCAGATATTAGGGATAACATTGAAATATTCAGAAGTACGGAATAAATTTCAAATATTCAGATATTTGTAAATAACTCTGGAATATTTAGATATTCTGAATTAAATTTGGATATTTAGTTATTCGGAATAACTCTGGCATATTCAGATATTGGGAATAACTCTGGAATATTCAGATATTGGGAATATTTCTGAAATATTCAAATATTGGGAATAATTCTGGAATATTAAGATATTCGGAAAACACTGAATTATTAAGAAATACGGAATAACTTTCAAATATTCAGATATTTGGAATAACTCTGGAATATTCAGATATTGGAAATAACTCTGGAATATTCAGATATTGGGAATAACTCTGGAATATTCAGATATTGGTAATAATTTTGCTGGAACTCTGATGGGAATAATTAATGCTCTGGGAAACACAATGGGCTTTATTGCTCCGACATTTACTGGACTAATCACAAACGACCATAATGATACCGCACACTGGCAGGTTGTATAATTAATTAATTCATTTATTCATTCATCACATATTCTTTCCTTGATTTACCATCGGAAAAGGGACTGTTCAGTTATTTGCAAACACTTAATTAAATTCTAATATTTTAAAATCTAATGAAATTCTAAAAGCAGGCATGTCGTCGTAGTTTCAATTGACCAACCCTTTAAAAAGTGATTTTCCGTTTTACAAAGGTACCCTTTACCTCTGTTTGAGAATTAGGAATGTTTTTCTATCTAAGAAAAATATTAATTCTGCTAATTTCCTTCATTATCTCTTAAATTTTGATTGTTAACAAGCTTTCTTCAAATTACAAGTTTAAATTACAAGTAATTACACAAAAGCTTTTTTATTTGGCAACTTATATTTGTGTCCATGTTTATGTGAATCAATGCTGTTTAAAATCTTGCGACGAGGACTGTATCTTCATATTTCAGATTGTATTCTTTGTTGCTGTTTTCATATACTGGGTTGGAAACTGTATATTTTTACGTAAGTATATTGATCAACTTTTTTGACACAGTTTGTCCCACGAAACACGAACATTGATCAGACAACTTTCAAATCTTCTTTCATCTTTGATAAATTTTTAATGAAAATTTGTATAAATGTAACAAAATTACACGCTTGCACATGTCTTATTTAATTAAAATATAGGATTTAGACAGTTTTCTTTTATGTCAATATAAATTGAAGTTTTAATCGCGCCACATTATACTTGACACTGACACACGAAGTTAAATAATTTGGATGATCTGAAGACTGAAGTGCTTCCTACATTGAACAGTTTTATAAGAACCAGTAAAGTAATAAAATCTATGTATACATATTAATAAAATAATTTTCAAATATAGATTTCCTTGTTGGCGTTGCAATAGATTAAACTGTGAATAATGTGGAGTCACTGCACATTAAAGACACTGCTCGGGTTGTGGTGTAAAAATTGATTGATCATTTAGTAATTTTTTGAGGAAGACGACATTATGTTTATTCTCGAATAATTCCAGTTTTCTTTTAGTTCTTGGTAGCTCCGAGGAGCAAGCGTGGAACAGAATATCAACAGTAACCCAGGAATATAAAGAATTTGAGCAAAAAATTAAACTTCATTTTGATATCTTAAATTTTTTCGTTGTCATCATAATATTAGCCTTTCACTATTGCTTTTATTATTAGCTTTGTAATATGTGTATTATACAGTATAACCCAGAACTTTGGAGACATCGAAAAAATTTATAAAATTTCGTCTTCACAATTTTTAAATACTATTACACCTAAAAATTTCGAATTTTTTATTACAATTTTGAGAATTTTCTGTGATTCTTTGATTCAATCTTTAAAAAAAATTAGATTTCGATAGAAAAAATTTATGTACACATTTTTGCTTTTCTGAACTTTTGATTTTGAGAGAAAAAAAGGTTCGCGGATTTTCTTACAAATTTTCAAAAAATATCGAAAAAACACAGAAGAGTTGCACAAAAAAAGGTACAATTTTGCACCAGGCGCCGCAAATCACACTTTTTTGACTCACCCTGTATATAGGACAATTCTAAAAGAAAAAACGAAGTCGACCACATAATTCCACTGTTAACAGTTATCACTATATCCTACATAATATCGTGTAACTTTATATCCCATGTGTCCAGGAGCCTGGAAATACTTCAACAGTATCAAGAGGGAGACGAGAAGAGAACTTTTATTGAGAACTCAAACTGATTTGTTCCATACATTTACTAAAAAGTATTGTTACAAAAAATTATTTTTATGACTAAAAACAAATTTAAAAAATACATTTTTGTTTAACTACACTGTACAGATGTACTTTTTCAGGTTATTAAGACACAATTATATTATATTAGCATAGTTACATTGTTTTATGTGTATCAGGCGCAGATACAGGGGGGGGGGGAGTAAAATTAAAAGTTTACTGTAACTTTTTTCCAGGAAAACATTTCGTAATTCATTGATAAATCAATAATCATGATAGTTTTACTTTTCATCAATTCTATAGATTTTAAGTTTTAACTAACGCTGTAAGTAATTGAATTCGATTCTTTTCTTTATTTGAAATTAAGTTTATTATGATTTCAGAATTGCATGAAACACATTGTAGTTTTTAGTAACATTGGAGCGACACCGACACAAAAGTAGGGATAAGAAATTTTGTGACCTTTTTCAGTAATCATTTTACAGAAGCAAAATTATATTCTGCTTGGATTGTTTTAAAAATGCAAATTTTACAAAAATCAGAAAATGCTTCCTAAAAATTGTAACGATAAAAATGTAAAAAAACACTTTTCCAAAGAAAATGAAAATTTAAAAATTCAATAAATGGGCATAAATATATTGAAAATTGACCAATTTAAAGAAAAAAAAAACACATTTTTTTAGCGCTAAAATAGTTTAGACTATAGCTTGCTCTATTTTTTGTATTTTTGGACTGTGTAAATTAATTTGAACTTCAGATTTTATTACTACTCATATCAAAATGCTTTTAAAAAATTTATTTTCACTTATATTATTTACTTTACAGTTTTTTCTTTAAACCTAATTTAAGGGAGCCATTTTTTATTTTCAAATGAGAAATTCTCAACCTATCCTTGCTATCCTTTTATATGTCAATATTTTTCTTCCCTGAGATTCTTGTGCTAAAATTTTAACAAAGGTGGTAATATCTTTTTTTACATATTGTAAGAGTAATTTGCCGTTTTGAGCACTTAAAATACTCATTCTCAGTGCCAATTCCATAAAAACCTGGACCCCCCCCCCCCCCCCTTCCTTTTCAAAGAGCTGGATCGGCCCCTGATGTTTATTATACTGATATGTATCTATTTATTGTTATTTGATAAATACTAAAAAAAAATTGTATCATGAAGATTTACGAATTACAAAATGTAGGACCGCCCCCTGCAGCTTCAAAATCATGATTCGGTTTACAGAAACAAGAAAGAGAGAGAATTGTCTGAGTTGTTTACAAACAACCCAACTTCCATAATGAACAACAAGATCTTCATTATTCCAACCAACTCTATAATCAGGGTTTTCTAACTAACCGGAGACACATAATTTAGAGAGGTATACACGTATGTCACGTAACGGAAGTACTTTACTTCGTACGTTTGTTAACCATGTTAACGTAACGAATATGCACCAAGAAACGTTTCGTTTTTTAACGATAACGTTATAGTTTTTCTGTTCGTTACAACCTTTTTCCTCTTAAACTAAATTTAAAATGAATTTTAAAATTTTAAAAACAGTTCGTTAGCGGAACTTTTCTTAGACCTTATAGGAACTAACGAGAAATGTTCGTCTTATATTGGTTTAGGTTTGGCGAAGCATTAAAATGATTATAGTTAGGCTTTTTTAGTGTTCTTATCTAAGATGTTATCTTTTTTTGGTTCTATTGTGGACATTTTAGCGAAAACCATTGATTGATCAAAGCTAGACTTTTTCCGGACATGTTTAGGTGTAGTTGGTTAGACGTGTATGTTTGTGTGTGTGTGTAAGGGTGTCTGTATGTCCAGTGTGTTTAAGATACCTAGGGAACCGTTGTTAAATCAAAACCTACTTGCTTTCCATATACACCATATATACATTCAGACTAGTTCACAGACACAGTCAAATCCTTGCGTTTTATTGAAGAAATAATTATGACAAAACTGAAGTGCATTTAATGTTGTTAATAAGCTAATAGCTTTATAGAAAGTAATTAAATCACTTATTAAGTGAAATGGGTCTGTTTACACAACACAATTGCTGTGCTTCATGTTCATTTGATTATTTAAAGTCATAACTTGGGTCTAAAAGTCGACTACCTGTTCCAAAGTGGTTTGGTTCTTATGTATATATATATCTCCATTAAGTATAAGCAAAAATTATTCTTTTTTAATATATTTGCTCAATTGATAAAAAAATTTTAAAAAGCTTTTATAGATTGTGACTTTTTAAACTAAATGTGTGAAAAACATATTTATTTTTCAAGTTGTTATGCAGAGTTAGAAAGAAAAAAAAAATTGTCCTTACTATTACAATTATTAATGATTGATTGTGTTTACATAATATTTGCAGATGTTCAATAAATGATATCGATGATTAGGGTTTACATATCTCTAATTGCCTCTGGTCTCTTCATAGGTTAATATTTTAATATTCAATTATAAAAGTGGGAACCCATACAACTGTGGAGTAAGAAGACGACATTTTAGGCAATTTTATGTGTATTTGATGTTGGTATAAAGAAAAAAAATTTATCACTTATTAATTAAAATGGGTTTGTGTACACTGTACAATTGCTGTGTTGAATCTAAAAGTCGTCTACATATTCCAAAGTTGTTTTGGGCCTTACTCAGGGCCGAAATTAAGGATTCTGTAAGGGAGAGGGGAAAATTTCTGGCATTTACAAACTCCATCAAAAAAAGCCTTAATTTCCTACCTTTCAGCTTTCACATTGTTTTATATCCTTCATTATAGTCATTCATTTTACATTAACTACAAAGATCTGTAAAAAAAACTGAATTTATTTTAAGTAAGATAAAAAATAATAATTTTAATCAAAGAGGAAAAAGATATAAATTTTTAAAATCTTTTTTAAATTTTTAGAAAAGCTACTCTGCAAAACTTTGAAAAAATATTGTCTTTGTTTATATTCTTATTTCTAATTACTAAATTTTTCTTGTCGTCAATGTAGTATGTTGAGATCTTAAATAAATCTAACATCGAAATGACATTATTTAGAAGTAAAAATGTATTTTTCATTTCCCATAACCTTTTTTTCTATTAAAAAAAACATCTAATTGGTATGACATTGACTATTACTTCAGAATTTAGAATCATTTAGAATATGTTGACTTAAAATCTGAAATATCTGAAGTATCCGAACATTTAAATTATTTGGTGCAAATTTAAAAGATATTCAATTTTAAAATCAAATTTTTAAATTCTGGGGGGGGGGGGTAAATAACCCCAATAACCGCCCTTATTTACGCCACTGGCCGTATTGTAGTATATACCGTGTAAGTATGTGATACCAAGAAGAATAATAAAGATATTGTCTGTATCATAGTGTATTAATTGAGCATACAGTCCTTTTAAACAAGCTTATACTTCTAGGTCTGGCGGTCAGTGAACAAGCGCTTCAATGCATTGCTTGCGGGTTGTCTCAGGTCAATATACAGGGTGTCTTAAACACCGTGTCTCGATAAAAACAGTTTGGGTAACAAAGGTTAGGGTGAATAAGAGCAAGATTAGGATGACAGTATAGTTTGTCTCTATCAAAACAGATAGTCTCTATCAAACAGATAGTAGTACAGTGTGTCTCTTATAAAACAGGTAGTCCAGTGTGACTCTTTAAAAACAGATAGTAGTGTGTCTCTATTAAAACAGAACATGTAAAATCTTTCTATTAAAACAAATAGTTCAGTAGCGTGAGAAAAACAGATCAACAGTACGGGGTGTCTCTTTCAAACCATAATAAACAAAGTCTCTTAATCTTTATTAAAACAGATAGTAGAGCAAGTGTCTTTATAAAAACAGATAAACAGGGTGTTTCTTTTAAACAGATAGTAAACGTCGACAGTCCCTGTACAATGATTTTGCTCCTGTTTATTAGGTGGACCCCAACAACGATGTATTCGGGAGCTATGGGACTGGTTCTGGGAAGAAGAGATACAACCATACTTGCGAAGAGTATGAGCAAGGAGAGGTTAGTCTATATACAGTGTGGCCAGATTCGGAGGAGTTTTAAACGCTGATATTCAGCTACTAACAAACATTGTACAAACAACTACTGTGAGAGACTGAAACTCTTTTGATATCAATAGCGCCCGGATTATAAAGATTTTCCAAAAAAAGAGGCAAGTTTAAACCTGAAACTCTGAACTTCAAGAAACCATAAAAGTGAGAAAGAAAAATAAATAAATTTTACAGATTCGTCTCATATTTTATTATTTTAAAAGATAGAAGACGACAATTTTTCATTTTTACAGTTTTTATGCAAACAAATTACAGAAATCAAACAATACTTTATTCTTTTATAAAAACCATTTTTATTGAATTCCATTAATCTAATAACTTACATTTATTCAGGTCCATTTTAAAACCAGCTCTTTACAAAGGATCATTCCATTTACTCTCAAAAAAATAAGAATCCATTGAAATATAAACCCCCTCGGGGATTCAATGAATAACCTTATTATGGATTCCTTAGGGGTTTAAATTACTATTGGTTTTGATGTAATTTTCTGTGCGTAAATGTTAACTTTGATAAATTGTATTTATATTTCAAGCTGCTTCGTTTATTGTATTTATAATTAAAGCTGATTAGTTTTTTTCTTTATATTTTAAGCTGCCCAGTTTATTGTATTTATAATTCAAGCTGCTCAGTTCATCATATTTATATTTCAAGCGGCGACATTTATTGTATTTATATTTCAAGCTGCTCAGTTTATTGTATTTATATTCCAGGCTGCTCAGATTATTGTATTTATATTTCAGGCTGCCCGCTGCTCAGTTTATTGTATTAATATTCCAGGCTATTTAGTTTATTGTATTTATATTTCAGACTGCTCAGTTTATTGTATTTTTATTTTAGGCTGCTCAATTTATTTTATTTATATTGCAGGCTGCCCAGGTTATTGTATTTATATTTCAGGCTGCTTAGTTTATTGTATTTATATTTCAGGCTGCTTAGTTTATTGTTTTTATATTTCAGGCTGCTCAGTTTATTGTATTTATATTTCAGTCTGCTCAGTTTATTGTATTTATATTTCAAGCTGCTCAGTTTATTGTATTTATATTCCAGTCTGCTCAGTTTATTGTATTTATATTTCAGGCTACTCAGTTTATTGTATTTATATTTCAAGCTGCTCAGTTTATTGTATTTATCTCAGTTTATTGTATTTATATTTCAAGCTGCTCAGTTTATTGTATTTATATTCCAGTCTGCTCAGTTTATTGTATTTATATTTCAGGCTGCTCAGTTTATTTTATTTATATTCCAGCCTGCTCAGTTTATTGAATTTTATATTCCAGGCTGCTCAGTTTATTGTATTTATATTTCAGGCAGCTCAGTTTATAGAATTTTATATTTCAGGCTGCTCAGTTTATTGTATTTATATTCCAGGCTGCTCAGTTTATTGTATTTATATTTCAGGCTGCTCAGTTTATTGTATTTATATTTCAGGCTGCCCGCTGCTCCGTTTATTGTATTTATATTCCAGGCTGCTCAGTTTATTGTATTTATATTTTAAGCAGCTCAGTTTATTGTATTTATATTTCAGGTTGCTCAGTTTATTGTATTTATATTCCAGGCTGCTCAGTTTATTGTATTTATATTTCAGACAGCTCAGTTTATTGAATTTTATATTTCAGGCTGCTCAGTTTATTGTATTTATATTTCAGGCTGCTCAGTTTATTGTATTTATATTCCAGGCTGCTCAGTTTATTGTATTTATATTCCAGGCAGCTCAGTTTCCTTTTCTACGATCCTGTCCTTCAGGGGTGCAAAGCTGCTTCTATATTACTGGAAAATATAAAGATGTTGGTAGGTGGACCAGAAAGATTCTTTTAATTAAAATTTTAAAAAAGTTTTGACGCGCTATTCATGCATCTAGTAAAAAGTTAAAGAAAGAGGAAAAATAAAGTGCTTTTACTAGAAGCTTTTTGGACTTTAAAGACAGTCAAAAAAGTCAAGAAACGTCTTCAGTTAGTAGATACAGGGTTATCCACAAAGCATGAGACTGTATAGACGACTTAAAAATCTTTAAATATAACGATTCCAAGGTTAAATTAAGTCTTCTGCCTTGAATTTAGTCTTACATATAGCTTATTATATGATTTAGCAAAGACAGAAACAAGTTACAGTTCCAGGGAATGATGAAAATAAGGGAACAGACAGTATAAATTCCGTACAATCGTCTCTGAAGTCTCATCCTTTATGGGTATCATATGTATATAGATAGAATGTTAAAAACAATAGTAAATAAGAAAGTTTTAAATATTTTTAAGAAAATAGTGTTAGTGAAATAGATTCTAGTACAATAGATGGCAACGTAGAATTTGTACAGCTGTATTCTGACGTCAGAAGTGTTAACTCAACGTTTGTGTCCGACAAAAATATTAATAATTGTGATAATCTTAGAATCGAGTGCTAATCTTACAGTAAAATAAGTGTCAACATGTCAACAAATGTGAGAAAATTTCGTTTTCCTTGTTATATTTGACACTTGTGACGTCGTGTATAATCGGTTGATTTCTCTGTTGCCACCTATTGTAATTGATAATCATTTGGCGTCAGTGAGCAAAACTAAAAGAGAAGAAGATGCAGTCGGGCTCAAAACATTTGTGAAATAGGAAGACGACTGTTAAACACAGACGCAGCAAGTGCGCAGTGTACACATAAAGACCCATTTTTCTTGATTGTTTAAGTGACTTGTAAATATATTTGCGATATAACAACATTGAATACTCATAAAATTGCTTAGATGTCATCTTTTCATTAGTGTTATGAATCCAACTGTAAAAATCATTTCATTAATGTTTTTTAATTGATATTTAGAGATAAATTTCCGCGGATGTGCAAACGCTAAATATCCGCATGATTTTGGGTGTGACAGAGAATTACAGGCGGTTAATGTATTGGACAGACGAGGTCTCTCAACCCAGGTTAATTTTATAATATAATAATAAAATGAGGATTTAAATGAGATTATTGAAATTATGAGTATGCTTGTAATCAACGGAATTTTTGAACAAAAAGTAAAAACATTTTTACCAAACATGACATTTTTAAACTATATTTAGAAATATATAAGGAACAGGGAATATATTGGAATGGTTCTGGGATTTCCCATATGCGCCCTGTTTATTTGTGAAAATATTATAGCTTAGATTATGTTTTTCGTATTGCATAATGTTGTTGTAAGAGATAAATATTACTTTTAAAGGGCTTATTACCAGAAAAGAAATAAAGCTTAAAGGAACTGTCTACGTGCTTTGATATGATTTGATGTTTGAAGTTTGATATTTCAGGTTGATGTTGAGGTTAACATCTGCTTCTGTAACACTGTAAACTGTAACAACCAGATGTCTGAAGCTGATCCCATCAGAGCTCAAGCATTCACCATGCTTCTCATCCTCATAATATTTCTAGCAACATATCAATAAATGAACAACTGATCCCATCAGAGCTCCAGCATTCACTACGCTTCTCATCCTAATAATATGTATAGCAACATATCAATAGATTAACATCTGATTCCATCTGAACTACGATCTTATCCCCCAAAAACATAATCAGTCACTACTCACTGGCTTCTTAGCTTATAATTTGTCTAGCAACATATCTACAGTTTAACAGCAACTATAATAACACGTACCATGATAAAAAAAAAATTAGTTAAATAAAAACAACAAGACATGATAACGATATGCCCAAAACATTTTATAGACAATAAAATTGGACGACATTTTAAACCGAGTTTAGTTCTTAAAAAATTAAAGTGTATATTTTCTATATGTCAAAAATACGTGTGCAATGGATATGGATAGTTAAGCACCAAACAGGAATTGTTTTAAACTTTTTTCTGTCCACAATTTTGATTTTAGCTTCACTAGCAGTGCATTTATCATCAAAACTAAATATTTTTGACAAAATAACTGTAAAATGTTATGTAAAAAATTGCTTTTATTTGTATAATGTATATGCTCGAAAAAAAAGCTTGATTGTGATAATTAAGAATATGAAGAAAAAATATTGTTTTTGAATACTTTCAATAAACTCGAATTATTATATGTTGTACATTTATAGTATAAATGTATAACATTGAATATTATAATGGAGGGAATTAATATTTATAAATCATAAATATTAGATTGTAGAGGAAGAAATCCCCGAACGAGGATTGTGAAATCCGAAAATCAGTAGTGTCGGATCTTGGAACCAGAGAAGACCTACTCATCTTCCTCTCCTTTATTACACTCGTTATTTATCATGCATTTACGGTTGAGTAGGTCTTCTCTGGTTCCAAGATCCGACACCACTGATTTGCGGATTTCATAATCCTCTTTCGGGGATTTCATATCCTCTACAAGATTTCTATTAATTGGTCTAAAGTTATCTAACTTTAACCGTTTGCGCAGTTTATTAAGGATTATTAATTAAAGATCAAAACTTTATCAAAATAAAGTAGATGAGTTGTATATCTACTATTTATTATTTTTTATAGCTGATATCATCGTTCTTTACCAGAAAGTTTGTTTACAAAAGTGTATTTTAGTTGCTGGAAAGAATTTAAAGTTTATTCCCAAGCTTGTTTTGATTATAATCCTTGACCTGTAGTATGACTAATAGTCAATAGTCAGTAGTCAATACAAGGGCGGATATAAGGATTCTGTAGGGGGGNATATGATATGATATCCATGTACAAAAGGAGGGGGAGGGGGGTCCAAAAATCGTATTTTAGGAAATTAACTCATAATATATATATTTTTTATTATGACGAGTTGTGTGTGAGTGAACTTTGCTGAAGTAACCGAACTAAAAGTTTAAGCATCTGCAAAATGCCGCAAAAACTTTTACTATCATGAAAATAGTCGTCTTTACACAAGTTCAGACTAATCAATAGGGAATGTATTTTTTTTTGAAGGGAAGGGGTCAAGGCAACTGGAACTGTTACTTGTAGAGGCAGCAAATGGAGTAACCCCTGCTATTCAGGGCCTGAAAATATGTTCAGGGGTAATTACCCCTAGAATTCTAGGGGGGGGTTTTTACCCCCAGGATTCTAGGGGGGGGGGGTAAATAACCCCAATAACCCCCCTTCCGCCACTGAGTCAATAGTGTACTATAGTCGTTGACTATAGTACACTTTTCGCAAACAAACATATGGATATTCTTTATATTTCTTTCTTAGTTCTTAAATACTCTTTAACAATACATATTACAAAAGTATATACAATAAAACAAGGATAAAAGCATAAGTAAAATATCAGCCTTTTTTCTTAATTCATCATTTCCTACATCAATCATGTTATTGCTTTTTAATAAAAGGTATATTTTTTTCAATCAATCGCAGAGTTAAATCTACGAACCGAAATTGCGTAATGATTAATTGATTGTCGTAGATAACGTCGTCTTTGTATATACATTTTACACGTTTTAATACGAAAAACGTAAATTTATGCTAACTCAAATATCTAAAGTTTTCATGTTTTAGTATAAAATAGGTAACACAAATTGGCATTAAAATATGATAAATTTAAATTTAAATTTAAATTTAAATTTAAATTTATTGGGCTGAAAAACGTCTAGTATAGTGTTTCAGACAAAGGGACCGTCCCTTTGTGCTCGAAATCTGAACGAAAAAATCGGCTTTTTCTCCAACCACAGTTGTCTTTAAAAAGTAACACTAATACCAATTACAACTAACAGGCTGTTCAGTTTAGCATGAAATCAGTGGCGTACATCGGGGGGAGCAGTAGTCCTCTTGCCCCCCCCCCCTGGAAAATACAAAATTAAAAGGAAACAAATCTTAAAAGCACAAAATTTTAAGATACTTTAAACTAAAACTTTTGCAAAAACAAGACCTCGACATATTAGATGCTTATAACATGATGGAAGAAATTATAATGGTATTCTATTTTCTATTTTTCTATTTTTTCTTACAGTCAATTAATAAAGGAATTGAGTCTTTGGCACAAACTCAAATATTTAAACCTTTGAAACCTGATGTTGTAAACCTTTGATATTTCAAATTCAGAAGATTTGATCTAACAGAATTCATAGTTTGAAATATCTAAGGTCTACAACATTTGGTTCCAAAGATATAGTGATTAGAAAATCAGAGTTTTTGGCAAAGACTCAATTCCTTTATTTCCATACAGAGATATTAAGCGTAATTTCAAGTTCCCCCTTTATGCAATGATGACAATAACATCGAATGAAGGAAACTTATACTGTATTTATACAAAATATTACACAGTCATCTATATTTATATAATACTTTATAGTATTGTACAATGTATTTACATATTAGTTCATACACTTTATTTATTGAAAAAAATGTTAACTTCATCTTTTAGTTAAACGTTTTGCAAAGTTACAATAATATATAGTTCTGTTTAGGCGTATGTCTATTCATTCTTCAGGTACCAGAAGAAAAACAACAAGTTAAGAAGAGGGGAAGAGTTGGTAGTAATAATTAAAATTCCTTTTTAGTAGATTCACCCAATCACCAATATCAGGATCTCTGATAAAACTGTGGAATAGGAAGACGATGGTTAAACTCAAGTTGTGATTTTAAATTGTCCAAAAAGCATAAAACACAGTAATTGTGCAGTGTTCACAGACAATGCATTTAACTTAATAAGTTGAAAGCCACTGGTAAAACTATTTGATATATAAAAGCATCAAATACTTATGACTTAAATAAAGTCTTTCTATTCTCTTGTTTTTTGGGTTTCAATATACTATACCATGCGACTTCAAAATATTATCACAGATTACGCTAGCGAACACTCCAGTTGTACGACAATTTAAACTCTATTTAGAGATAATAACACGGAGATCTTTACCCTCGTTGAGCAGTCAACGCTTTAAAGGTTGGTGTTGTAAACTGCTCAATCCCCTTTTAGCGTGGAGCTAGGGTCACTTGAAATTATGATTGCAGTCCCTTTCACCTACCCTACTAACAGGGTTACCGACAAAAGATGAGACTGTAAAGACGACATAAAACTTTTCAAATATGACCATTCCAAGGTTAAATTAAGTCCTCTGGCTTAAATATAGTCTTGTTTGACCTTTTTAGTGATTGGACCAAGAAAGAAACAAGGTTACCGTTGCAGTGAGAATTATAAATATAAGGAAATAGACAGTTTAAATTTCATACAATCGTCTCTGAAGTCTCATCCTTTGTGGGTAACCCTGTACCTGAGCAGGAAATTTATGAATCATTTTGAACCGGATTCCGCTTTTGGTACAATCTTAGAAGTAACGTAAAAAAAATGAACCTGATAGTTTTTTAAAACTAATTTCTAAACTACCTAAAAAAGCAGTAACTGTATCTTTTTTTAACAACTTCTCACTCATTCATTAATTTCCATCTTTGGTCACACTACTAGCCCACAGGGACAAATTCCAGCTCAGCAAAGGATATCGAATTTCTTTCTAGTTATTGGCGCATATATACTTACTGACTTATTCGTGCACTGTATGTTTGTGCACTAGTGCTGAGTCAAGGCCAGGGGTTTTGCAGATAATTTTAAATAAAAAGAACAGCTTTTTAACTATTTTAATAGTCTAGTTATTTCCATAGATTATATAAGATGGTGTACTCAACAACTCCTCCACCCCTGCTGGAAGATCTGGGAGAAGAGGGTGTTCAGTATCTTCCTCAACTCAAGCAAACATTTATACAGGTTGTATATATACAAAATATTCATATAGAACTCAGAGTTAGAGAGTTACTAGAATGTTTAATCTAGGGTTTCCATTCGCAAAACTTTTGCGCAATTTTTGCGGAACGACACGCAATATTTTTCTTTCTTTGCGCATCAATTTTGCGCGAAAAAACAACAATTTGCGCAATCATTCGCAAAAGTCATTTCGCGCAAAATTGCCCTATTCCGCTTTTGCAAAACTCAAGTTTTGCGCAATTCCGCAACAAGAGTTTTGCGCAAATCCGCAATTCCGCAATTTCGTAAAAATCAAACGGTTGGTGACGGTGTGTGTTTCTTAGAATTCAATTCTGGAAAAATCTTGTTTTGGAATGTCTTCCTATTGGTCACTTTTACATAATTGACCAATGACAATTATGAAGAGTTCAAATCTCACAATTTTCTCGACAATTTTAGTTTTGGACATGCATATTTCCTAAAAGTGGATTCTTCAGGCATTGGTTACTTTCTTGCATTATTTTATATGAGATTAAAAAGATTTCAGAAATTTGATTAAAAAAATTTAAGAATACAATTCATACTTGATTAAGCAAAGCTTTTAAGGCCGGGTCATTTGAAATTTTTTAATAGGATTAAAATATTGCCAAGTTTCACACTCTCTAATTTCTATTTTATTAATTGTGGTCCCTTAATTTAAACTTTTTGTAACTTGAAGTAACCAATTGAGTGTAGTATAATCGTTATCATACTCGTATATTAATATTTTTTTTTTGTATATGGAATAAATCTTCAGTTGTTTAATTCTAAGCTTAGAATATCAATTTTTGACAATGTGCCTAAAAAGTTACATTTTGCGTAAAACTTGCGGTTTTGCGCAAATTGCGCAAAAAAATTGCGCAAAACTAAAATTTCGTTTCATGCGCAACTTTCGCAAAAAATATTTCCGGTTTTGCGCAAATTGCGCAAAATAAATAGCGCAAAACCGCGCAAAACTCATTGCGTTTCATGCGCAAAAATAGCGCAAAAGTTCGCAAAAAAAAAATTGGCGCGAAAATAGCGTAAATTTTGCGCAAAAGATTTAGCCATTTCGTGGAAACCCTAGTTTAATCCGATGAGATTAAAGGTGAGGATTGAGTGGCAAGTAGGTTGTTTACATTTTACAGTGACGTATTAGAACTAATATTTGTAAACTACAACAGTTTGTAAATATTTACACAGCTAGATCCAATAAGCTATAAAATTATTCAGCAATTTTCGAGACCAGGTTAACAATCAAGTGTCACGAGCATTTGACCATCGGTTTAACATAACTGACTCACTGTGCTTGTTTCTAACTTTAGTTTAGAAGAAGTAATTGGCAAAATGCGTGCACACTTTAGTTTCTACTGAAATATCAAGATTCTTAAAATTAAACTTAATCAGGGGTTTTCCGGCGATGTAGTCGGTGGGTTGGTTGTTCTAGCAGATGGAAGACGAGTTCAGGCTCTTGGTGGGGGATTTCTAGTTCATGGAAACTCAGATCAACAAATTATTACAGGACACAAGTAAACTCTACTATTATCTTATTATATAATATAATATCTAAGAGTGCGTCCTCGATGTGAGTTCTCAATGTGTGTCCACACTGTGCTTCCTCATTATAAATGCATCCGTGTGCGTTATCATTATTGCGTCCATATCAAAAAATAGTTTTATGATAATGACAAATATTGCAAGCGTATAAATCGGACTTGTAGGTCCCTTATTTCCAGCATTTTGTAGTCTCCACTTTGGAACAACCTTTTATACGCCTGTTTTCTCTATTAGTTATCCTGTGAATTGTTTGGAAGTATCCCCTAGTGGTCTCTACATGGCTACCGGAGAGAAGGGTCAGCTTGGTTTACGGGCCAAAATTATACTTTGGGATACAACCTCATGGACACAGGTATACATATACTTTGCATAATATACATTATTTATAATTGCTGTCTTAATAAATTTAGATCCTTAAGAGTTTGGAAGTATGTATCAATATTACCTAAACAAATTAAAACAAGGTTTTTTAAAATATTGAAAATGATATCTCGCTGTAACACTACTTTAAACAAAAACAGATTAAATAGGCTTCGAGCTCATTCTGGTAAAATCTTTGTTTTTTGTTCTTAATCTATCTTCAAGCTTTTCGTAAAAAATACATCTTAAATAAAATTTGGCAGATTTTCCTTTTTCCATCGACCGATTCCTATAATATTTGAATCGGTGTTTTTATTTGACTGGCCATATAAACTTTACTTGGGGTCCTGTCAATTACCAAAGAATGTGTGTATTCTGCATACCCGGTTCACCTGTTTTGACGTTTATTGTTGCCCAGGTTACTCATAGTTACTCCCGCCGTTTTCCCGCAGTTGGTCGATTTTACAGAGAAACTAAATGGTCGCTATAATAGTCGACCCACTCACATTAGAATCTTAAAACTAGACTAAGAACATTATCATCACTCTCCCGAGTCCCCCAATCAAAATTTGAGGCAAACCGGTCCAGGGATTATTAATGAGTTGCCAACGGTCAAACAAACAAACAAACAGACACCGAAACAAAGATTACAACTTTACATTTATAGATACATTTATTTTCATTCAAATATAAAAACTATTTCAGATTGGTTTTCATCAAAGTCATCATGGATGCATTGTTGCTATTACAATTAGTCCATCAGAACAAACAATGGCGTCCTTAGGAGGAGAGGTAATTAAACTAAATAAACTTCAATTAAAAAAATATTAATTCTTGAATTTAGGACGATCTCCTGCTTGTGGTTTGGAATATCGGAAACTGGAGTCCGATATGTAGCAGCAAAATTGGAAATGGTAATAGCCTGAAAAGAAATGAAAAGGCACTTATTCCACATAAAATTTTATTTCACGGGGGCGTGCACTCGGTTGCCTCCCCCCCCTTAAGGCCCCCGACAAGAACGTGTTGTCAATCACAATATCAATTCAATGTGTATATTTTAGAAAGTGTCAACGGGTATGACCATTGGCCACTGGCAATTCAATTAAAAGATTATCATCAACGATTTAAAACAGCAAAAAATGAAGAAAAAATTAAATATATCGTTGTGAATCCTTGATGACACCCTCTAAACATTGAATTTAATAAATTTTCCCACAAATTGCTTTTAATGATTTAGTTTAACTTTAAAGGAAGATCCGGTCCAGGAAGATGTTTAAAATTCATCCATGATGAAACCTTAATCCTTGCAGGGAAGGACGTTATCCAGATCTGGACAATTAAGGTAGAACCAACACTTTCTTTAATATAAGATCGAGAGTATCAAAAACTTAAATTTTCGCCTAAAAGTTAAAATTTTCGATTGATTTTAGTTTTTCCGAAATGTCGATAGGGTTTTTTCAAAGTGTCAAACAGATTTGGTTTTCCCTAATTTCAAACAGGTTGGAGTTTCCCAAATGTAGAACAGGTTGGGATTTCCCAAAATGTTACACAGGTTTGGTTTTTCTAAATATCAAACAGATTGGGGTTTTAGTAACGTTTAACAGTTTGAGAAAATATCATTTGGGAAAATAGATCATTTTGAAAATAGTTCATTTTGAAAATAGTTCATTTTGAAAATAGTTCATTTTGAAAATTGGAAAATGTTCAAATTGAAAATTACAGTTTGGAGCGAGGTAAAATACAACTTACACTTAAAACTAGCAGCCAATTCTTAAGGACTAATAATGATGTGAATAAACTATATTTCCTATTTTGTAAGATGAGTGTTATATTGAAAAAAGCAGTTTTAACTCATTTTTCAATAAAAATGATTTGAAATAAAAATATTTAGAATAATCATCAATAAACTTGTTTACTGTTTGCAGAACAAACGGTTAATATCTACCCCCTGCAACATTGGAAAAATAAAAAGAACATACCAGGTAAACTTTATTTTCTTTAAATGGCAAAATGTTTCAATAGACATATTTTCAGTGCATTTCTTTGGTAACTTCCCAGGACACTGCCTACTTTGGAACTGAATCAGGAGATCTGGTCAAGGTTGGAAAATAAGAAATTAATTTTTTGGACATTTTAGATCTTTGAGAAGTGTATCAATGTTAGTCAAAGTCCAAATTATCATTCCTTATCTAACTTCTTAAAGAGACAGTGAGCGTAATTTCAAACCGCGTGGATTTAACGGTTCTGTCAATATTCCAAAAATATCAATTTGTCCTATTAAACATCATTTTTAAGCCATTTTAAAAAATATTTTTTTGCCGGCATATACGTTTTGAATGAAAAGTATTAAACAAACAAATCCGTAAGTTTAAAGATTGTTTAATTATAGACCAAAACGCGTTTGATCTCAAATAGAAGACACAGAATGCCTCTAACTCTGGTTAGTCCGGGGTGAAATGGCCCTCCATGTAGGGTTGGTAATCGTTTTTGTAAACGATCGTTAAACGATCGTTAAACGATCGTTTTTGAAAAAAACTATATTTTTTGAAAAAAATTTGTATTGACAATTATGTTAACGATCGTTAACAAAGGGTCGTCGTTAACAATCGTTAACGAAGGGTCGTCGTTAACGATCGTTAACGAAACGACGAACTTTATCAAAACAGTCGTTTTTGGAAAAAAAATTACATGCAACTTTATTGAATGTCGTCTTACATGAAGTTTAACATTTGTGGGGGAGTTAAAACTTCTTGATATTTTCTTAAAAACTACTCAATGCCCTTCAGGTCGGTTTCCTCTCTTCGTTAACGATCGTCAACGAAGGGGTCGTCGTTAACGATCGTTAACGAAGGGTTGTCGTTAACGATCGTTAACGAAGGGTCGTCGTTAACGATCGTTAACGAAGGTTTGTCGTTAACGATCGTTTTAAAAACGACCGATTAAAAAAAAAAAACTTTTTAAAAAACGATCGTTTTTAAAAACGATCGTTTCGTTTTCGATTTTTCGGCTGTCGTTTTCATAACGAAACGATCGTTTTTCTGAAAAATGAAAACGTTAACATCCCTACCTCCATGTAAAGATGGCAATGCCAGCTTCACAACGGTACCCTTGAAACCTCAGTGTGATCAATAATGTGGGAGAAATGGTCGTTTTTCCACGTTTTCCTACGTTTTCCTGTATTGTAGTGAATGCGCGAATCACTTTTGTCAAGGAACCCAAATTGAAATAATCAGCTTGACAAGTTATAAACATTAATATATAATTCATACTTGATCAGACAATACTTTGAAGGTACCGTTGTGAATCCGGCACTGCCATCTTTGCATGGAGGGTCACTTGAAATTACGCTTACAGTCCCTTTAAAACAAAGCAACATTACTCACCTTACAGTTTTATAATCATTCTATCTTTGCAACCTGATTTCGTAAACCTTTTATTTTTCAAACGATTAATTATGCTATAGAAATAGTCAAAGTTTTTTGTAATATCAAAGGCTTACATCATCAGGTTTCTGAAAAATGTTATGGACAAATTTTTTAAAAATAAATTATTTTTAGCGACATTTCAAAATTAAAACACAGTTTGTTTGTTTTTTCGCTGCAGTCAAAAAGTCATTCCAAATTTACTTTGCATATTCGTTCAAAATTTAAAAGTTTAAAAAAATGATTGATTTCAGATTGCTCTGAACTCAGAAACCGGAAGAGAGCCAGCCATAGTGTCTTTGTCTGTGCGTAAAGTTAAACTGAAAGCCCCCATCAATGCTGGAAGGTATTATTGAAGGTCTAGAATGTTTTTTTTAAATGTCAATTTTCTTGTAATTATTGCAGGTTTTCAGGAGGGATCACATGCCTAGCCAGCCTTCCTTTAGGAAACCTATTGGTTGGTTGTGGTGGAGGAGAACTTGTCCTAGTCGAGGAGCAAAAACAGGTACGGACTTAATCCAAAGTGATCCAAAGGTGTGCAACCTATTTTGCCTATAACTTCATATAAAATATAAGCTTAGAAATTGTACATGTCTAGGGCTACAAAAATGTATAAGTGTGTAAGTGAGGTAAAACTAGAGGCAAAGGCGTTGCAACCTTTCAAAGTCAGCCCTGTCTTAAAAATTGATCCAACTTTTCTTAACTGTCTGGAACTTTGTGACTCAGAGACTCAGAGATTAACGCTTGCGGGACAGATTTAAAATATGCAATACTTTGTTATCTTAAAGGGACAGTCGTTGTAATTTCAAGTGAACTTCCATTTAAAGATAAGAATGCCTGATTAACACTGGTACTCTTGAAACCTTTATCTGATTAATAATTTTGAAGTAAACGTAACTTTTCCAACGTCCTGCATTGTTCTCCTACAGCGGAAATTCGCAAATCACTTTTGCAGAGAAATCACACTTCAAAATTTTAAACATGGATATCGAATTCATACTTGATCAGACAAAGCGTTGGTACCGTTGTGAATCGGACATGCGATTCTATAAATGAAGGATCTCTTGAACCTTGAAACCATGAGTGTAGTTACCACTTGATGGTTCAACCTTGACTTTTTAATACCATTTGTGTCAGAAATGGACAACTTTCTCCAATGGTACGTTTTTAAACCATTTGATTTAAAAGTTTGTGCTTGTGTAGTAAATATCGAGTTGAGCCGCTAGAGCTAAGCACTGTCTAGTTCAAAAGTTTCACCTTTAAACAGCTGTATACAGGTTAAAAATCATATTCTCATCGAATACATAGATAGAACAAGTAGGGGAGTTTTGGTTTCTTCAGGAAGTCATGGCTTTGAATACTAAACCTAAAACTGCTAATTTTTATGCTTATGACCACTCGATAGTTTGTCGGCATGAGGAGGATGAGAGTATATTTTTTCCCCAAAAAAAGCAAAGACTAGCTTTTTCTATGCGTGTGAGATATTTTTTGTGAGATATTTACCAATTTTACTTCTTCGCAAATTAACAAAACTAACTTTTTTATTCAGAAAGTTAACCAGGAGAAGATGCTAACATCCCAGGTTTCAGAGACAGCCCAGGTATAGTTTTGAACTTTATTTTTTAATTTTTACTATTTCTATTCTAGGATATATTCTAGGATAACCTGATAGAGAAAAACAAATTTAAATTTTCAGCCAGCATCACTAGTATGCAAATTGATCCTCATAAAACTAAGGTATACTTAGTTTAAATCATTAGACAAAGGATTGGAGTCTTTGCCACAAACTCTGATTTTCTAATCGTAATAGACCTCAAATTGTGAACTCTTTTAGATTAAATAATCTAAGTTTTAAATATCAAAGGTTCACACCATCAGGTTGCAAATAAATAGGAATAAGAAAATTTGAGACTGTGGCAAAGACTCAATTTATTTATATTTCATAATTTTACAATGTTTAATTGTACATGTAATGATGTATTCGCCTAAATGTCTAAATCCTAACTATTGATCTAGATTAAAAATAGTTTTTGCCAGAATTTTCGTTAAATCCAATATATTCAACTGGCTCATTATCTCTTTAAGAGAATCCAGACGAAGTTTTAAGTAACTCGTCATATCTATTATAGTCACTTTATAAATTGCTTATTTTTATTTGTGATTTCTATTAAGTGACTTGCGCATTTCTGCTCCAGAAACCATGGAGGAAACTGTCAGATTACGTAATTTTTTATCAGATACAGGTCAAAGTGGTTCTGTTGTGAAAATACAACATCAGCTTTTAGGTGAATCCAACATCACCAGATGGCTAATTGTCTTGTAGATGTAATCAAGCAAAGACATAAGTTTTGTCAAAGTTTCTATTAAACCTCCATAATTAGGTGTATATCGGTACTGCTAAGAATGAGATTCACATGGTTAATCTTCTCACATTTTCCGTATCCACCATCATGATTTGTGCCACCAAACCCTTATACTCGGCCACCTTCCCTGCAACTTCAGCTAAGGTTACACAACTTTTTATATAAAAATATTGACCCCTAATTACTATTTATATATTAAGGTATAATACATAATACAACATACATTGCATTGGTCGGTTTTATATCGGCAATTTTATATTAGTGAAATAAAAAAAACGTATAAAAAAATAAAAAATATTTCTAGATTTTGACCGTTTGTAGAGCCTTTTTATTTATGACAAAAAAAAACATTAAATGGTTTTCGAATCTAAATTCACAAATTCAGAAAAAGAAATTCATACTTTGCCATGCAAACACTCAATTGTTCCAAATCTTTTACCTTTGTGAGCTGATTATATAATTATACACCTTTGATATTACAAACTTAGGCTATTTGATCTTACAGGATTCATAGTTTGAAATGTCAAAGGTCAACGACGTTGGGTTGCAAAAGATATTGAGATTAGAAAACCAAAGTTTGCTGATTTTTCTGCTTAAACCTAACGTAATTGCAAAATCACAACGCTGCATGCATATGAACCCATCTTTAAGTCAAATTTTTGGGTACGAACTGTCTTAGAATTGAATTTTATCATTTGACTATGCCAACTCGGTTTTTAACATATTTTGAGTTTTGTCCAAATATATAAATTTTCTTCCTATTTCAGGTGTTTTGTACAGGAGGGAAAGGAGGAGTTACACTATGGACAGAAACTGGAAAAATAATATTATCTATTCCTTCTTCAAGTCCAGATGTGTTTGCTAGAAAGGTGAAACTATGGATGCCCAGTTGAAACCCTTCAGAACTAAAAAGATGTTAAATTTCTTCAAATATTGATTTTTGGATAACGTAAAATAAAGAATATTTATGATGTTCATTATATAAAAAAATTGTCTGCATGCTACGATTTTATTTTCAAATAATATTTTAATACGTGTCCATTTTGAACAGACAGAAATCTTTAATCTTGAAAAATCTATCTTTGCATAAAAAGTCAATATATAAACACAAAAAAGGGAATTTTTACATTTTTGAATTGCAATTATTTTCAGGTTCTTTTGTCTGATGATGGTAGGTTTGTTGTGAGTGGATGGAGTGATGGAATTGTACGATTTCATACACCGGAAACTGGGAAACTGTTCCATGAGGTATGCAGACAGGGTGTCCAAAAATAGGGAACTGAGTGTGACTGACGACTTTTAGACATAATTCAAATCCAATAATTAAGGAAATCCGATAAAAACAACATATATATCGTATTGTACACAACACAATAATAAGAAATATACAGAGCGATTATATCAATACAATGGTAGACGACTTTTTATTTCAATTTTGATTAATATCAAGCTGTTAAACAAAATGGATATAAATTTAAACAAAGAAGTCAAGAAAAGCTGTCATTTAAAAAGCTTCCTTTTGATTACTTATTAACTTGTAATTTGAAAATAGCTCGTTATAATCAAAACTTGAATTAAAAGTCATCTTCATTGTTTTGATATAATCTTTTAAAGTTTCTAAAATTTAAAACCTGTGCACCAGGTCCGGGGTGCAAGCTCAGGAACTGAGGGAGTAACAGCCCTGGCTCTACGCCATGATATTCTTCTTGTTGGTGGTAATGATGGTGGTGTTAAGCTCTGGCTTGTTGGGAGATCCTCAGTTAAACTTCATAAATCTGTCAGGTAAACCTTCATATTTACAGAACAGAGAGAACCAGAAAACTGCGGAATAGGAAGACGACATTAAAGCAATATATATCCGTGAATATGATGTTGTTATTACGCAAATTATTTAACCGTATTAGCTTTAAAATCACTGATTCAGTGGATTAGGCCTGTATACACACTGCCAAAATTGCTATGTCTCATGTGCATTGGACTGTTTTGAATCATAAATAATGTCAAAAAGTCGTCTTCCTATTTCAAAGTTTTCTGGTTCTCGCTTAGCTAATAATCTATGTTTGTCTGTCTGTTGTTTGGATGTCCGATCATAACTTAGGTCCCAAGTTAGTTTTATTTTAATGTTATTCGGAAATATCTAATTTTATCATATGCTTTGGGTATCTTTTAGAATTTCTTTTAGGGGTCTATTTCTGATTTTTGTTATCTATTTTTTGATTGTAGGGAGCACAAAGGAAGAATAAATTATCTTAGTATTGCTGGAGACAGAACAAGCTTTATATCATCAGGTCAGATATAATAAAATCAAATTTTAAAGCATAGTTTCAAGTGACCCTCCATGCAAAGATGGCAACGTCCGATTAACAACGGATACCCTTGAAACCTTAATCTGATAAATACTGTAGAAAATAACTTTGTTTTCCTGAATTAAAAAGTGTTTGATTCTGATAATTTCTCTGTTGTTTCTTATAAAAAAAATGCGCATGCCTCTTTTGAAGAGAACCACAAATAAAAATATACAAAATCATGAATTTCTAATTGATACTTGATCAAACAGAACTTTTAAGGGTACTTTTGTAAATAGGGCATTGCCATCTTTGCATGGAATTGAAGGGGTGACTTGAAATTTCACTTACAATCCCTTTAAATGTTCCAAAATAAATTCTTGAGCAGTTTACAAAACATGTTGATGTTAGGCCAGGAAGGATCTGCTTTGGTTATGAGTATTCCAGATATGACTCGTGAACAGCTACTCAGAGGAACAGCTTCCTTAACTTCAGGATTTCTACATTGTAACAGGTAAATTATAAATTACATTGTAACAGGTAAATTATAAATTTCTACATTGTAACAGGTAAATTATAAATTACATTGTAACAGGTAAATTATAGATTTCTACATGGTAACATGTAAATTATATATTTCTAAATTGTAACAGGTTAATTATAGATTTCTACATTGTAACATGTAAATTATAGATAACTAGATTTCTAAATTGTAACAGTAAATTATAGATAACTAGATTTCTACATTGTAACAGGTTAATTATAGATAACAAGGTTTCTACATTGTAACAGGCAAATTAAAGATAACTAGATTTCTACATTGTAACAGGTAAATTATAGATAACTAGATTTCTACATAGTAACAGGTAAATTATAGATAACTAGATTTCTACATTGTAACAGGTTAATTATAGGTTTCTGCATTGTAACAGGTTAATTATAGATAACTAGATTTCTACATAGTAACAGGTAAATTATAGATAACTAGATTTCTACATTGTAACAGGTAAATTATAGATAACTAGATTTCTACATTGTAACAGGTAAATTATAGATAACTAGATTTCTACATTGTAACAGGTAAATTATAGATAACTAGATTTCTATAAATTTCTTATTTCTTATTTTAACAATACTTTGATTAATATTAGGGTTCATGGATTTATTGCTGGGTCTGATTGTGAGCTGGGATACTGGGATCTAACAACAGGAATAAAAATCTTTCTTTATTTTGATGAAAAAGAATATTTCTAAATAGGAAACGAAAGAACAAATATTGCTCTCTCTTCAAAAAAGCTCCTAGAAATTTAACACATGCATTATTTTTTTAGATTAAAAAATGTTGTTTATAAAAAAAAAATTGCTGCATTTCGCTTTATTAAATAATATTACGAAGCTAGACATGATTCCGAGCTAGTTAAATGGTGAATTTTGAGATGAACAAATGAAAAGAAGCCAAAATATCTTATATAGCATAGTTTTAAACTGTCCTTAAAATATCTTATACAGCATAGTTTTAAACTGTTCTTAAAATATCTTATATTGAATAGTTTTAAACTGTTCTTAAAATATCTTATATAGAATAATTTTAAACTGTTCTTAAAATATCTTATATAGAATAGTTTTAAACTGTTCTTAAAATATCTTATATAGAATAGTTTTAAACTGTTCTTAAAATATCTTATATAGAATAGTTTTAAACTGTTCTTAAAATATCTTATATAGAATAGTTTTAAACTGTTCTTAAAATATCTTATATAGAATAGTTTTAAACTGTTCTTAAAATATCTTATATAGAATAGTTTTAAACTGTTCTTAAAAACCTCATCATTGCAAACTTTGCAACAATTGATGATTCTTTTTCTATGAGATGTTAAATTGACATATAAATTTAATATCATAATCAACATATTTCAGAATCTGAAAACAATGTTAATGAATCATTAGTAAAATGTCTAGTCTATATTCTTTAAATTATAAGAAGGCATTGAAGATATCTTTGTTGAACACTCAATTCCTTAAGGTATAAAGGTTCTGTTATAAAAAAAAACATAAAAAAAAGCAAGCATTTTTATATTAGGGCAGGAAATAAGACACATTAGATCTATCTCTAGTGGAACAGGTATTTTAGAAATATTCAATAAATATACAAAAAAAACATTTTTCTTTTTGAACAAAGGAAATATTTAATACACTTTAAGAATTAAGAATAAATATTTCTGGTTCAGTGACCTGTGCTGAACTGTCTGAAGATGGAACTAATATTGCGGTAGGGACTAAGGAGTCCAATATCAGGGTTATTCGATACAGGTCCTTTATATATCTTTACTTGTATACAGGTCCTTTTTATATCATTCATTATATACATGTCCTTTATATATCATTCATTATATACAGGTCCTTTATATATCATTCATTATATACAGGTCCTTTATATATCATTCATCATATACAGGTCCTTTATATATCATTCATTTTATACAGGTCCTTTATATATCATTCATTCTATACAGGTCCTTTATATATCATTCATTATATACAGGTCCTTTATATATCATTCATTACATACAGGTCCTTTATATACCATTCATTATATACAGGTCCTTTATATATCATTCATTCTATACAGGTCCTTTATTTATCATTCATTCTATACAGGTCCTTTATATACCATTCATTATATACAGGTCCTTTAAATATCATTCATTCTATACTGGTCCTTTATATATCATTCATTATATCCAGGTCCTTTATATATCATTCATTCTATACAGGTCATTTACATAACATTCCTTTATATAGCATTCCTTCTATACAGTTCTTTTATATACCATTCTATTCCTTTTATACAGGTCCTTGACCATTCCATAACAATATAGGTCCTTTATATACCTTTTATCCTATACAGGTCCTTTACATACTATTCATTCTAGGTCCTTTACATATCATTCATTCGATACATGTCCTTTATAAACCATTCATTCGGTACATATATTTATTATTCCTATTTATTAAATAAACATCTATTGTTTGGCACTACAATCATTTGTCCTAATTATAATTTGTCCTTCTACTACAGTTATTGGCAAACGTCATTTATACTTCTTCATAAGTCCTACTCTATATTAGAGCAATTGCATACCATTTATCATAAATTTTATCTCATTTTAAATGAATGATTGCAGTGATGGTCGTGTCGTTGGTGTTGGTCCTGTTGGTTGTGGAGCAATTTCTTCTCTTTCTTGGAGCCGTGATGGACAACATCTCCTTGCAACAACAGAATATGGAGCTCTTATTAGATGGAGTCTTCAGTAATAGTAAATTATCTTTGTATCGTTGAAGACAATAGTCGGCCTCTGTAAGAGAGAGTATACTGAAGTCAGATGGGAATCATACGAAGCACTCTACTTTCATCTAACTCGTGTGATATGTAAACATTGATTTGATATAGTTCCTCTACAAAGCCTGTTAAGCTAGACTCTATACTTAAAGCTGTTAAGTTATGAGTAAATATATACTGAAATAGTTATCCTTGCTTTTTACTAGAGACCGTTCTTGCCTCCTCTATTGGTGACCCTGACTTTGAACATATGCAGTTATACAACGCTAAGGCTAACCAGTATTGTGATTTGTTTGCACTTTTTTTTCAAAAACTTTAAAAATCTTTATTTGTTGTTCGGTTTCCATAAATTTTAGGTCTGTTTCCTCATATTTTAGATTAGTTTCCACTTTTTAAAAACTACTTTAAAATCTTAATTTTTTGGTCGGTTTCCTCAAATTTTAGGTCCGTTTCCTCATATTTTTGATCCATTTCACCTTTAACTAAAACTTTAAAAGTCTCACTTTGTCATTCGGTTTCCTCAAAGTGTAGGACCGTTTCTTCATATTTTAGATCCATTTCCTCTTTTTTCAAAAACCTTAAAATGATCTGTTTCCTCAAATTTTAGGGTTGGTTCCTCATATTTTAGATCGGTTTCCTCAAATTTTAGGGTTGGTTCCTCATATTTCAGATCGGTTTCCTCAAATTTTAGGGTCGGTTCCTCATATTTTAGATCGGTTTCCTCAAATTTCAGGGTCGGTTCCTCATATTTTAGTTCGCTTCTGGTTTTTAAAAACTTTAAAATTCCCAATTTGTTGATCGATTTCCTCAAATTTTATGTCAGTTTCCTCATATTTTCATAGTTTCCGTTTTTTCCAAATACTCTTAAAATCTCAACTTGCTCATTGGTTTCCTTAAATTTAAGGACTGTTTCCGGTTTAAAAAAAAAAATAAAAACTCTTATTGTTGACCAGTTTAAGAATCTAGTACTCCTATTTATCCATCTACTCTCATTTCGCTTAGTTTTGATCCATTCTTGAGTTTAAATCAAACTTTAAAAACAAATTTGTGAAAAGAGAGAGGGGGTGTCGGGCCACAATGACCTCCGGAGCCTCCTGATGCACGAAATACCTCCCGAGCCCCGCAAAATTGTCTCTAAGGCTTCCTAGTCTGTCTCCATGCCATATTTCATACCTTTTACACTCCATAAAAAAAAAAAAAAAATATTTTCAGCTCATGAGATAAAAATACGTCAACTAATAAATTCTTTCTTTACATACAAGGGGAAATAAACTTTTGTTACGAAATTATATTTGTCCTTTTTTGAATAGAATTTTTGCTTAATTTTAATAATCTAAGAGCCCAAGAAGAACAGAGTTAACGATAGCGAACAACTGTCTATATATATAGATTTGCATGCAGTTCAATTGCTTCCTTGTATTTATTAATTCCTACATATCATCAGAAAATAAAAATCTAGAAACTATATTGCTTGATTAATGGAAAGGTTTTACAATTTATCCAGAACTGTTAGAAATTTAACGTCATGATTTCATAATACTCGAAAAAAATTATGTTATTTTTTATTACAAATTCTATGTAGTATATATTCTCTGCAATTCGTACTGAAGTGCCCGGCGTTGCCCATACTTGAAAAAAATCTTTTATCTTAATTTAACAAATTCGAAGTTATTCTCTGCAATTCGTACATTTTTCATAACCAGAGGCGCAACTAGGGGGGGCGGCCGGGCGCGCGCCCTCCCCTAGCACCTGAGAGGGGGGGGCGCCGCGCCCCCCTC